AATCCCTAAAACTTCCTAAATACATTTCAAGCGTTTTTTTCTCACTAAATCCTTATAGTTTACATGTTATTTTCTCTTCCCTAATCTCAAAACTGGATCTATCAATTCGACCAACCTTGTAACCACCAAAAACAATTAAAATAAACCTAAATTAACCTTCTTTTCTTTCTAGTATGACTTCAAATTATAACATGAAACCACATTTGTTTATCCGAAGTAACTCTAAGTTCGTAACATTATACCTCTATTTATTGATGAATAAATATTGATGAAATGCTTGAAAAAACTGACATCTAAATATTCTTTCACTTAGGCTAGATAAACCTTCATGTAATTCACAACAACTACCTTATCATACTTCAAAAATCCCATATCTATAATATCAGAATTTTTGCTCTGTTTCAGCATAGATTTTAAGTATGATAAATTGAGGATGAAACTATCAACTGTATTTATTGAAAAATTATTAGAGTATATAAGAATTTATTTTGTTAATGTACTTGTTAAGATGATGCAATAGTAAAAACTTTTTCAATTGCCCATTTTGTAAGCCTGTAAAAAATGAGAAACTTGGCATATTAGCATCTCCCAAAAAATTAGACTTAGTTGATGTTGTTAAAAATTTAAGTTTACACATTTATATGGCGATGAAAATTGCTTATTTTTATGTTAATGATTTTTATATAGCTGTATAAAGAATAAGAATTATATAAAACTTTGAGACAGAGTATCTAATTTGTTATGTTTTATGGAATATATTTTACTTGAAGATGTGAAGGTATGATGTTAGGTTAGAATGTATCATTTTTTTGTACATTTTTAGACAAATAATGTAAAGATATAGTGTATGTTATAAGTATAAGATGTTTGTTCAAGATGCTTTTTAGTTGTAGGGATTGTCTTTGTTTAGTTACTGGCTGTAATAATGCACATACTTCTTTCTTGTAGCTTGCCATTTCTCACGTAGTTATCCAGAATCAGAACTGTGACTAGCATTTGTAACATATTTATTTCATTTTCATCTATAAATATTTTAGAAGAGCTTCTAGTTTGATAAATGTTGGATGTATTTTCAGCTAGTAGTTTTTAAGTAACTGAGCAGTTCTTTGATAAATGTTTTTAAAATATTTTTTCTTATAATAACAACAGAATCTATATGTGGAAACAACAGCTTGAAGGCTTGGAGAACGAATTAGAAAGTTTAAGTGTGGATCATCAAGATGTTTTCGTAAGTCTAGTTTTACATTTAAGAGTGAAAATGTGTGAAATTAAATTTTTCATATATTGCAATTTATTGAATATTGTGACATAATATGGCTTGAAATTGATCTCAATAATAGAGTGCTATTTTTCTACAGTTCCGTGTTGAAACTTAAATGAATATTAGTTTCAGATTTTTTTATATAATTATACTACTTTTAACATATGTTTGTTTGAAGTTGAGCACAAAGCTACACAATGGACTATCAGTGCTCTGCGCACTACGGGTATCAAAACCCGGTTTCTAACGTTGCAAGTCAGCAGACATACTGCTGTGCCACTGGGGGGCCTTTTAACATATAGATATAATGTTAAAAGTTAAAAATTGTATGGCTAAGTTATTAACCAAAAATGAATACTAGTTATTATAGAACTGAATTGGTGTCTGAATATCTAGTGATAACATTAGTTTTATTATTCTGTATTGACTCAAATATTGTCAACAGAACAGGCTTAAAAGTTTCAGAATTTGTAGTAGAATTACTTAGTTTTACTAAATAAAGAACAAGTATGAAATGTACCAATTTATTAATCTGCTTTCAAGATCTATTCTTACTGTTCTATCTTGAGTTCTGCAACTTATGTGTCTTTTCAGTATGAACAAGAAATATTTGATTTATTATTTTAGTATAATATTGCAGGATACTTTTTTTTAGCTATTACATTGTACATATGACCAGTGGTGGGGTTCAAATATTTTAACAACAGG